TGGTGTTAGATTTTCCTCACAACTGGCAACCTCTATATTTTACCACATATTTTACGTCAGTGTGTATTAATTGTGCCCCTCTGCTATTTTTTTGAATGTGTGTCTGTGGATGATTATGTAGATTGCTCTCGACACAGGCTTCTGGACAGTTATCAACCATGTGTTTGTTTGGGGCTCTCTGGGCTCCTACTTCACCATCATGTTCGCATTGCACAGTCAGACCCTCTTCAGGATCTTTCCCAATCAGTTCCACTTTGTAGGTCGGTCCCTTGTTCTCTTTATTTGTTTGTATCATACACACACACACACACACACACACACAGACAAACTCACACACTAGAGCCTGACCAATACTGAATTTTTGTAGCTGAAATCAATATAGGAATTTCAGATAAAAATATTATTCTGACAAATATGAGGCATCATAAAATTAAAATTAAAAAATATTTTTATTTGAATTTTATGATGCCTCATATTTGTCAGAATAATTGTATTAGATTGCACAGAGGGAAGATATTATAGAAATGTCTGTAAACCTGTATTATATGACAGAAACAACATTTGAATTAAAAATATATTACAATAAATAACTATATACAGCAAATATAAGAAAACATTAAGATTTATTCCGGCAAAATAAGGTCAAATACACAACAGATGCAGACAATAAACATTTTTGCACTGCTACATGCTATTATTGATGTTATAAACCAAAATCTGACAATAATATTGGCTAATATATTGGTTGGGCTCTATGATCTGCCCACTCACACTTTTGTACACACACAGCCTGCCCACATACACCTAAGTCAGGAATTGGTTAACCCAATAATATCATAATTTACTTTTGTCACCTGTCGAAATCATTTCACAACAACAGTAAGAACAATTGTCTAGTAGAGAAGTGTGTACAGTGTCAAATGCTATATATTCCTAAAATATATTTGCTCATGTTGGTGTATGTGTTATGTGTATTTGTGAGTACAGGTAGCGCCCAGAGCACGCTATTGCAACCAGTCGTGTGGTTAACTATTGCACTAGCAACAGCAATATGCATAGTTCCAGTTTTGGCATTCCGCTTCCTCAAGGTGGACCTCAAACCTCAGCTCTCAGACACGGTGAGAAAACACACACAAACACAAAGTTTCTGACACTGATGTGTCCATTTTCTTCATTGCAACATGTGTCGGTGTCATGTCTTCCCATCAGGTCAGCCTGAAACTGGTCTCAGCCAATGATTAACTGCACGCGTACAAACAGTTCATCTGAGTTTGTGTGTGTGTGTTTGTGTGTATGTGATGATAATGAGTTGCTTACTGCCATTGACCTCATGCAGAGCAAATACTCTGCAAATATTGACGTAATCGATGTACCATAATGACAAAAGTTGCTTTTAGTACATGAATATAAGCTGGGTGTGTGGCCTTGCCAGTCAGTGTGTCTCAAGCTAGCCGGGCATCCAACTGTCAGGGTGGTGTGAAAAGTTCCTTTTCTGATTTGTTTGTAGTTCTCTACAGTCACTATTACTGGTTTCTAGGCTTGTGATAAATTTGAGCTGTAACATATGAAATGACTGAACAGTGGCAAAGAAAGTTTGATCAACAACTGAAGTGCACAGCTCTATATAAAGCAGATATAGATATATAGCTTAGCACAAAGACTGGAAAAGGCAAAACAGCTCAGTCTGAAGATAACAAGCCTAATCTGTCTATCTGCACCTTTAAAGCTCAATAGTTAACACATTGTATGTGGTTTATTTAACCCGTACAAAAACTGAAATGTAAAGATGAAAAGTTGCAGATTTATGGAGGCTTATGTGCCAGACTATTTCTTGTCCACCTGGAGTTGGTCCAGGAGGCCAAAGTCACCCAGATAATCCCCCAGTTAAACTACAACTTTGTTGCTTTTAGACTTCTGTAATAGCCTTATATTTTGTGCTGTTATGAAATACTTCTGGTGTGTAAAGCAGCAAAATATTGGTGTTTGGGTGTGTGTTTGTAATTGAAAAGTGAATGAATGTTTTTTTGCACCATCTGCATTTCATTTGTTGGTGACAGAATGTAGAACAGACAAACTGTCTTGTTCAGCCTGAAGCTCTCTTACAGGCCTTAGTGAGCTAACAACATGTCACTGAATCTAGTCATAATGTCCCTCTTCCTCTCCTCTGTTTCTTCTCCAGGTGCGCTACACTCAGCTGATGCGGCAGAAGAAGCGAAAGCCTGTGGGTCGTAGCGTGGGAAGTGCCTGGCGTGGGGTAGGCAGTGTGTCAGAGGGCCGTCTGGGCACTCGTGGCAGTTCGAGGAGGTCAGGCTACGCCTTTGCCCACCAGGAGGGATTTGGAGAGCTGATCACCTCGGGGAAGAACATGAGGCTGTCATCTTTGGCGCTGGCCAACTTTGCCTCCAGACACAGCTCCAACTTGATCGACACGCTCCGCAGGAAGAAACACACTCACACTCCCCCTAGCACCTCCGGGGAATGCAGCCCTGCGCTCAGTTGCGTGTCTGGGTCAGTTCCAGCGCTCTCAAACTCCTCCTCTGTTTTGGGTGCCTCACAAGATACACCCGTTGAGGTGGAAACAGCCACAGCACCTTCCCAGAATACACAGACTGCTATCACTTCATCCATACAAACCCCGCCAGCATCAACACCAGCTTCAGAAGCAGCTGCCCCTCAGGGTTCAGCCCAAGCCCTCAATGCTGGCTTCCTCACCCCCACTGCAGTGAGGTCCCATGGGGGAGACTCACCTGGAGGCTGGACGATCACTCTGGGGACTGTGCAGGTGAGCTGTTGTGATTTCACACATCTAAAATGATACACACTGACATTTTCATTTCTATTTCTGTGTGAATAAACTCCATTAAACAGTTAACTCTTCCTCTCGCCAATAGGAAGCTCTGTTTGGTTGGAAGGCTCGTACCACTGCATCCACCAGCCCAGGCCCACCTTCTGCTGCCAAGGAGACCAGCCAGATTGACTGAAATATTTAGAATAAATGGAGGATTAACTTGTTCACTACTGTCCATCACATGTTTGCACACACATACAGGATGTGTTGTGCTCTGCGAGCACACAGACTGTTGCCCACACAGCTCTTCTCTCTGTTTCCCAAATGAAACTTCTAGAATAAATCATATAAATACAAGTCACAGGAAAGAAGTGGCACAACCTAATGACATGGATCTTGCCAACTGTGAATTGGGATTTAATGGTGATATACATATCCCCATGGTGTTCATGAATGACTGATATAGAACATCATGAGATTTACGATATATAACTGAAGGAAAGCAGCCGGTGTAGAAACAGATGTCAAGATAACTCACTATTAATGATCTAAAAGATTGTTTCTACTTCCTCACTCACAACCAAGTCACACAGCCTCTCTTTAACAAAACCAACCATTGGTTAATGAATGAGCAGAATAACATGACTTCCAGCCAGTGATGTGCAGCCATTATTATCTGTATATAAGTGTTTTTTTGTCAAAAAAATATCAAGCCTCTGTGTTCTCTAAAGTTCTCAGTGAGAACGATACTTTTAAGTTACAGAACACTGCAAGACTGTTGCAAGACTTGTGCCCCTTTTCTCTCACTGATGGGTCTTCTTACTTATTATACTTACATGTTTCCCTTTCTTCTTTTGCATCATATTGATGTGTTTTATAATGGCCTTGTTGAGTTGCACCTTAAAGCAAGTTCTGAGTGCTTTTTCACCTCTTTGCAAGTGGTTTTCCTTTTGGGTTTGACATAAGTTCAGATCATGTTCATGTACCTCTGATATAATGTCTCGTACCACCATAGTCTGATAAACAGACAAACTGCCGCTGGCTTAGTTTAGGTTAGACCTGGGCAAAGTACAAATTAAAGAGGCAGTAATGGACATTTAAAGGTGGTTTGTCAAATTCTCAATCGTACATGTTGTGATTTTGTGTGAACAGTTGTACTGTATACATACTGTATGCTTTAGTAAAGCGCATTGCATTTTTATTTGTCCATGAATGACGGTGTTTTGGGGTTAATCATGCCTTAATGCCAAAATATTGGTACTCTAAGCGCTTTCTGGTTCCTGATCCATCGATCTAGTACAGCATCACATGTTGCAAATGTTTGTGTCAAATACTGAACCTTGAACCAGATTGGGTGAGATAAAAATAGCGTAACCAGAGGAATGGTACAGACTTGTTCCTGGATCTTTGCCTGTACTAAAGTTTTCAACAAAGCAGATCTTAGACTGAAAACACAACAGAAATGCTTACAAGAGCTGCAAAAAACAGAGTGGAAAATGAATGTACTGTACAGTATCTGGCTCCATGAATTGTTTAAGCATGGGTCAGCTCTTTATGGGTGGAATATGAAGCTGTTGAATGGTGGTCAATAAACATGTCATCTCTCTTTCACATGAGAGAAACATACTATTTCTACGCAAATGTTATTTCAAGTACCAACCAAAGTGTTAGGTAGAAATGACTGCGCTGTGTTGGGGCGTGAAATGAGGTAAAGTGAAGAACAGCTGGCAATTTAGGAATATTTTACGTTTTAGGTTTACCGCAAAAAACAGTTCTGTGGCAAAAGCACCCTCAGTGCTCTAGTTTTCATGGTGCACCATACATTTCTAATAGCTGAGGTGAAAATATGAACAGGGAATAAAAAGCGATATTTTCAGTTCAAAATCAAAAAGCAAAATCATTTTTTACTTTAAAATACAAATAAATATGCAATTGTTATTTAGACCATACAAACGTTGAACAAGCTGTATTGAGAATATATTGTAGGATAAAATACATGATTAAAAATGCGTATGAGACAGTTACAGACAGTACAGGATGTAAAAACTTCCTGACAATGGCAGAATTAAAAATAAATATTATAATAGGCCCATGTTCAGATTTCATGCGGGTTTTATTTTGGCACTGAGGAGGATTTCCTCTGTGTAACGGGCTAAACAAGGGGAAGAGAGCTGGGATTTCACAATAACGGGTGTTACGGACAGCACACTGCTGCAACCAGAGGAACTCTGCTTAAGCAGTCCTGTCTGCAGCAGGGGACTATGCGTTCGTGCAACAAGTTGGATGGAAATCACAACAATCGCCAACTAAGTCACTTGGTGTTGAGTTTAAGTGATGGTGTGAGCACTCGGTAAAGGGAGATTTATGCGCAAAATGCAGATTTTTCTCCCTTTGCTGTGTGTTCTGTGCGCCACATCGGCCCAGAGCATTTTCGACGGAACCTGCCTCAGAAAAGGTAAGCCTAGAATAAAATTCAACTTATCCTGCCATGTGAGCGCGTTTTCAAAACACATAGCTGTAATGGTTTTAAATGACAAACTTGCCTTTTTCATTTTAAAAGCAAACGTAATGTTTTTCTGTTTGCTTGGAGGTTGTTGGTCATTGTCATCCACAAGAGTGATCAGAATATTTTCTCTTTTTTTGATGACTGGAGGTAAGATAAATCTCAGCGAACAGATAAAACTGCGTTGTTTGCATTTTGAGCATAGCGCAACTGGTAGTTTGCCCAGAAGTCTTTTTAGAAGTAATATTTGACATCATATACAGAATGCAAAGTAGCCCACGACAGTTCCGATATTTCCAGTGTGATATTTTTACTTTTAAAATTGTAAAGAACATTTGTTTTAAATGACTGTATTGTCATATTGAAATTGCTGTTTTGTGAAAGTCCGTGGAAGCTGAGAATGAAAATGTGTTTCATACTGTCTCAAATTTTTACTGGCCAATCACCCTGCTATAAAGGTGTTTTAACCATGTTTGGGTTTGTTGCACTGGACTAAAATTGCTGGAGGGGTATATGCTACTCCATTTAGGCTACTTTGGTGTCAACAGTTCTCTACTTTAATTATCCAAATGATTTATGAGCAGGGTAAGGCAAACAGTTACCTGGGAAAGTGGGAGAAAGGGAGAGAAAGTGTGTTTGCACTGTAGAAGGGCAATGGACCTACCTCTGACGTCATGCCATGTCAAGTCCAAATAGGCTAAAAAGAGGCTGTAAGCACAAAATGCAGCACTGTCTCAAGTTAAGGTAAGTGTTTTGAGCACAGTGAGAAAATCTGAATAATCAGGGAATGTCAGAAATGTAAATAAGTGAGAGATGGGGGGGGGGGGGGGACAGAAAAAGAACACAGTACAGAGGAAAGACACATAAAAAGAAGAAGTTCAAAAGGAGTTGGTACTGTTGGTTATGCAACGTTGCATCTTATCTGTGCTGTATTTACTCGGCATTTAGTACAAAATACTGTCTAAAATAAGTCTTCAATTCACACACATGCACGCTTCAAGACAGCACCCCAAAATGATTCAAATCAATTCTTTAAATTATGTTTTTGTTGTTTGTTTTTCTGTGCAGACCCTCCCCCTGGTGTGTTGGTTTTATCCCCAGGCAGTAAGTTGGTTATGACCTGCAGCAGCCATGTGAAGGTGGACGGCGTAAAGGTCCACATAGCCAGAAACAGCTCAAACACCAACAGAGGAGGGAGTCCTTCAGATGCAATCCCAACCACTGTCGCACCCACTATCACACACATTGCAGGCAACAGTGGAGGTTCCAAGAAAAGAAATAGTCACACTGTGGAGAATTCTGTGAGTGAGGGCTACCGTTCCAATACCACTGAGGAAGGAGACGCAAGAAGCCCCCAATATACAGATACAGGATACACAGCTTCTCCCACCCCTCGCACGGTCCAGCCAACCAGTGTGAGCAGACAGCAAAAGGGTGAATCCAACCTGGAGGCTGAAGGGATGGATGGAGAGGGCAATTATGAGGAAGAAATGGAGGAAGAGGAGGACGATGGGGGAGAGGAAGGGAGCAGGGTAACAAGGGGCATAAAATCGAGGCCTCAGTGGAAGTGGAATGGGAGGATGGTTGGAAAAGGAGACAGAGACTGGGGAGAAATCACATTTGAGAGGAGAGGGGCTTTACTGTCTCTGTCCTCAGTAAGACTGACAGACTCTGGGAAGTACACGTGTTATTACCGAGGCAGAGAGAGGTTCTCCTTAAAAGTAATTGTCGCAGGTGAGTCAGAACGGTTGTAATGGATGATTCAAGTTACAAGTGGTGTGTCATTTTGATTTGATCCATATGTGAAATCATTATTTGTTCTTTGTCCTCCTCACATTCTGAATGTAAGGACTTGGTGTAAATGATAGGTCAGTGTGAGGATGTGGGTGTTTATGTCTTCACAATCCACTTAGAAAAGACAATCACAAAAGTGAAGAAAGCTGTAGGGGTAGAGTGGTGAGAAATTCCAGAAGTCCTTAACATAACATTCTATTATTTATCATTTCATATTCATTAAAAATATGATTTATCTCTCATACTGCTTAATTTGCTACTTTTCACTGTCATTGATGATTGAATATCTTTCAATATCTGGATAAAACAAATATTTTTAAATGTCATGTTGGAATCAAGGAAAGTCTCATTGGCAGCTTATCTTATAAATAATTGACTGCTTATTATATAGTTTAAATTGTACCAGTGACTGCGAGTGTGGCAATGATTAACAGCGATCTGTGGTTCATGTAGAAATATTTGGGAAAGACAACAAATGACTGACTGACAGAATGAGTGAATAATGAATGTGCAGTATTCTATATGTGTTAGATCCTCCAGAAAATCCCAGCCTGTCCTGTTACAAAAAGTCACCCACCAGTAAGATTCGCTGTGAGTGGGCACCTCAGAAGCCCGTCATCATATTGCCTATGTGTTACCTCTTATACAGTAAAAGGTAAGAACAGATATACTACTACACATGTTGTGAAAAAAAATTATATTTTATGACACCATTTAACTTGCACACTTGCAATGTTTTCACCATGTAACAATCCATCCATCCAGTATAACTGAAGAGTTGAAGTTATAAATCAGATCAGAATCAAAGATCAGAATCATAAATACTTTTTATTGATCCCCAAGGGGAAATTATTTGTTACAGTTGCTCACTTGCACATTAATGTAATTAAGGAATAGAATAATAATAGACAGATGAAGTAGAAAATATAAGAAATATGAAAACATAAATGTAAAGAAAAAATATAAATAAGTGTGGATGTGTACAATATTTACATTATTAACAGAATTGTAATGAAGAGCAGTAGTAGTGAATAAATAATAGCAATAATAATGAGTTGATGTGGAATGGATTACAAATCCTTAAAAACTACAGTATTAGGACAGAGTAAGCAGGGAAGTGAAGCAGAGAATAGGCCTATTGCACAATAAGTACTAAGTATTAAAAATCGAAAACTAATTAGAAAATCGACACTTTGTGTTACAAGCATTGCTATTATAAACACAGCTTTACCAACACCACAAAATATAATTTAGATGCTGTTTCTTTTTTATCTCTGCATCTACAGCCCTGTCATTCACACTATGTGTGTTAGCGGGTCCCACTACTATTTTAAAGAATTTTATATAATATGGAAATATATAAAGCTATCAGTAGAGAGATCACGGTCAGTGAGGGGAGAGAGAGCTGGACCCTGAGGCCACTGTATGCGAACAGGGTTACAACTACATATTACAATCAAATCAAGAAATGTTCTCCAGAGATGTTATAGGACTGATTTCTAAACAACTTTATATCCATGTGTGAGTGACACTTTCCTTTTGGTCTTTCCTTCTCTCAGCCCGACAGAGAAATTGATGCGTTTGCAGTGCTCATACTCACCTCGAGCCTCCCGCTGTTGGTGCACTCTGGACCACAGTGAGGACGAGCGGAGAACTGTTCACATGGCATACCTGTGTGTTACCAGCATTGCAGGCAATGCAACAAGTGCCCTGCTGCAATTCATGCCTCTGGACATTTGTAAGTGGTTGCGTCGATGTTGGTGTGCACATCGTTGCATTTGTGTCTGGTCTGATGTAAAAGAAATTAAAGCACTCTGAAGCTCCACTCACTGTGCTCCCTTCTGCTCCTTCAGTAAAGCCAGACCCTCCATCGCATGTGTCTGTTCGCCAGGAGGAGGGACAGGAGAAGAGGTTGACGGTCACCTGGAGTTTTCCAGGCTCCTGGAAGCGTCAAGACAAGTATTATGACCTCATTTATGAGGTCAAATACAAACCTCTCATGTCCTCAACTGATTGTGAACAGGTGCGTGCTGGCAGTCCTATAGACAGGCTGAGGGTATAGGGTGAGCATGTGTGCCATACATGCGCTGTCACTGTGTGTTTGTTTACTTTCACACTTCAGTAGTTCAATGAACTGTTGGCTTTTATGGCCTAAAACAGTAAAACACTGTTGACAGTGTGATGTGTGTTTACCTGGTCGTCTATCTGTATGTGTCTATGTAGATCCAGAAGATTGAGCGCCAGCGCTCATACACCATCACTGATGCGATGTCTGGTGTTGAGTACATGATACAGCTTAGAACTAAGGATGAGTTTGATGGTGTGTGGAGTGACTGGAGTACACCTGTCAGTGGCAGCAGCTGGACAGGTAAATACACATACAAACATACTGTTAATACACACATAGGAAAAAAGCACCAAATAAAGCCTTTTTAAAAGTAGATTTAGGTCACAGGATTATTAGTAGAATCTTCAAATAGACATTTGTTCTTGCTCAGGGGCCGACAACCAGATAAAGTACCATAGCATTTTAGAGATGTGGAAGTGATGTAAATTAAGGGGACCGGAAAATTATTGAACTTTGTTGCCTCGGAAATACATGTTCCAGCCTGGACACAAACAAAAGTAGTCATGACAACTGGAGGAGTCAGGTATCCTGTTTCCTTCCCGAATCATTGGATTTTCCAAAGACGTGGTCTATAAAAATATCCTCCCGAATACATACATACTTTTACCCTTTACTCCTCTCTCAATAAGTTTACTCATTGTGCACAGCATGTAGCAGTATTCTGGTGCTCATAGAGTTGATAAGAGCAGATTTAGAAGAGGTTTATGAATACATTCTTACATCCCGATGTTCTTTGCAGAATTAAATACAACTATACAACATTTAAAATGAAAGTAACACATTTTCTTGCAAATTTTTACATGAAAGTGAAACCTCTGTGGAAGTTTGCTTCTCAAATTCTAGCGTATTGCATTGTGCATATTCCACACTACTCTTTAACACTGGCTTTCAACTTCACTTTTCTCCATTCCCTCAAAATCCATCATATCTACTTGATATGTAAAAATGACTATTTAGGAAATACACTTTCTTGTGAATTAGATGAGAAAATTATTCTGCTCCCATATCCTGTTGATTTGAATTTTTTTGTACAGATTCAACAAAATAGATATAAGGTGTTAATTAGTGAGCTTCAGATGTGATGGTAGGCAGACTTTTTATCTTTGGACAGAGCCTGGCTAGCGGGTTTCTCTCTGTGTCCAGTCTTTATGCTTAGCTAAGCTAATTGTTTAGGTTCATACTGTATTAATTGTACAGACATGATAGTGGTATCAATCTTCTCTCCGACAGAAAGCAAATACGGGTATTTCCCAAATGTCAAACTATTCATAAAGCAGTTTCCTGGTGGCCTTTGAATTTAAGAAGCTGACCATGTAGTTTCTACTTCCCCAGACTGTGACCAGCCACCAACCTAGTATCTTTATTGCATTCCTTCAAATTTTCTCTCTTCTCTCATTACCTGTCACCTTTCTACTGTAATTTATCAAAATAAAGATAAAATATCCTCTATCGGGATATGTATAACAGCTTATCTGGTTTATGCTAAACTACTGTGCAATTATTTAAAGTGATTTACTTTTAAAACAGGGAATGTGCCTTTAAATTATAACACAGTATAATATTATCTATCAGTATAATATTATCAGTCAGGACCCCGAGGCTCTAGAATAGCCTGCTCGAGGAAATCAGGTCAGCTGAGTCAGTGAACTCTTTTAAGTCCCTTCTTAAAACATACTTTTATAGGAGAGCCCTTCCCGATTTTATTTTATTCTATTTTATATAGATATTTTATATTTACTTTAAACATGTATTTTAGTCTTTTTTGTGATCTACAAATTAAGATTATTATTATTATTATTATAAAGGAGATACCTCCACACTTGTTTCTGGATTCAGGAGATCACTTTTTGACCACTGACAGGGGAAGTGAATAACACTGTTTATCTCATTATCATGGCACCTGTCAGTGGCTGGGATATATTAGGCAGCAAGTGAACATTGTGTCTTCGTAGTTGATATGTTAGAAGCAGGAAAAATGGGCATACAGGATTTGACCGACTTGGACAAGGGCCAAATTGTGATGGATAGACAACTGGGTCAGAGCATCTCCAAAACGGTCCGCAAAGATCAATACCTATCAAAAATGGTGCAAGGAAGGAAAAGCTCATTGATGCATGTGGGGAGGGAAGGCTGGCCCACTTGGTCCGATCCTGCAGAAGAGATACTGGAGATCAAATTGCTGAAAAGGTTGTTGCTGGTTCTGATAGAAAGGTGTCAGAACACACAGTGCATACACAGTGGCTCAACAAGTGAGGGCTGCTTTTTGCAGCAAAAGGGAGCCCTACATTATGAACAACAGGTGGTCATAATGTTATGGCAGATCTGTGTACATTGAATCAGTTCCCAATGGTCTTTCTTCAGAGTGAGATATTTTTTTAAAAGAAACCAGATTGTTCTTTTAAAAGAACTTGCACTGTGAGGACATTCTGTAGGGATCAAAACATTGACTATCTTATCTTACTATAAACAAAATACACTCAGTCTAAATCAGTGTTTTTTTTATTGTGACCCTTTAAAACAAAGTAGTGTCTGATTGAAACCCCTCGTTACTGGTTGAACAAGTCATTTTTGTGACAAATTCAACCAAAGAGTATAGTAAAAATATTTTTAAAAATTGATAATTCACAAGAACAATGGAAAAGACTAGATGAAAGTCTGAAAAAAATAAAAATAATTTTGTGTAGAAGGAATTTGTTTTTGTTAACCATCCTGCTGATCATCACACAGTCAGTCACTCAGGTTTGTCTTACGATCCCCAGATGGGGACAATGGGTTAGACTAATATGTTTTTAAGTTTTGCTGTTTCTGTCAAAGCTTTTGATAATGTGTCATCTCTATGGATGTCTCTCTCCTCAGTTCCACCATCAGCCCTGCCATCGGATTATGATCTTGATAACAGAACGGTAAGAGACTCAGTGTGTCAATCCTTTTTAAGAAAATCATTAATGCTCTCTCTCTCTTTGTCATTTTCCCCTAACACTGCATACAGTATTTATTGTTGTCGGACCTCCAGTATCTCACACTATCTCTTGTGTTACCTTCTTTAACTTGCAGATCACAGATGAAGGTTCTGGTTCTGGTGACTACGGGCCTTATGGTAAGAAAGTTAGCAGACAGTAAAATATTTTGGTTAATATGGTGTGTTTGTGTAAGACAAGGGGGGACAGAACAAGAGAGGGGGAACTCTTAAATGTTGTTAGTGCTGAAAATCCCCTATGCCCCACTGGGTTTTAACAGGAAGCCATGTCATCATAATAACTGAGGCTCAACAACGAAACAAGCCACAGGAAACATGGCTCAACACACCTATCTCTCTCTCACACACACACACATACACAGTCACATCCAAAAATATACATACATAAATGTTATTCCGCTCCATTAGTATTCTTCACAGATCCAACCTCTCTTTTTTCTGCAGTTACTGAACCAGTACAAGGCAAAGATGAGATGCCACACCATGTCCTGTGGATCTCTGGGTCATTTGCTCTCTTGTCAGTCATTTTGGCCGCCTACATATTCAGGTACAAAGATGGGCACTCGGTTATGTTTTCGTATGTATTTCCTGCTGTACAACAAACATGCTGCATTTATAACACAACTTAAGCTGGTGTATATATAGTATGTCTGGTGGATGAGATTCACGCTTCAGCTAATTTCAGTCAACTTCTTCATTGAATGTCTCTTTTTTTTCATTTTAGACACAAGGACAGATTTTTGTCTAAACTCCAGAGTTTGAGTGTCGTCTCCCAGTGTGGTGACTCGCGTCTGCCTTCGCCCTTCGCCCCAACAACCCCAACAGTGCCAGCAGTCCCAGCAGTCCCAGAAGGGCAGGCTCTGGTGACACTTGGCCTTCCACGCTACAAAAAACCCCCACTGAGTGAAGTGGAAGAAGGGGAAGAAGAAAGTGACGAAGAACAGCAGGTGATGGAGGGGATTGATGCCATGCACTTCAACAACACAAGTTATTTCGTCCTCCAGCAGTACTGATAACCGTGCAGAAAGGGGAATGAAACTAGCCAGATTATTTTAACTGCTTTGTATAGTTGGATTGTTGTTTTGTCATCTGTAAAAAGGAAACTGGACTCAAAATTTTTATGGTTCTTCAATGAGCTTCTGTTGGAAGTAACTCAGGAACAGCTATTTTATCCTATTTCATGCCTAAAATACCTCTAAAAGAATTTCTTCTTGCTGTACTTGTCTTAAGAGCAACTTTGTCTTATGTATGTGCCAATTAAAAATGTGTTGATAAACTGTAGATTGTATGTAGGCCTAATTATAGGCCTGTGTCTAGCATATCACCTCGTGTTCTGTCTGTACATAATTTTAATTATATTAAGATTTATCAAATATATCACTCAAACCCTGCAGTTCAATGTCCACATATTCTTTACAAGGTTTGAATAAGAAAAGTTGCTGTCAAAAGCATTGGTTGTTTATCTGTTTAAGCTGGGTTGATCATCCTGTTTAAGGATGTGTTTTGCTCCATAGAAAGTTCAAGGAATCAAAAACAGACCCTTAAAGCATTTCTGGGAAATGTGCAAAGCAGGCAGCCACCTTCAGGCCCCCGACCTCAAGGCTTTCTGGTTTAGGAATATTAACCACTAAAGCATTCAGTAATATCAGTTGATATGACACAGGCCTCAAGGGGGTCCATAAGCCTACTTGATCTTGAGGCTCTGCTTTGAAGGTGAACCAAGTCCTAAAAATAAGACCTCAATTATCTCAGGTTTGTACTTACATGTTGCACATTATGAAATGCAGCCTATTTAATCAAATGTAACTACTCAGTAAAATCTGGGGCCACCTAGCCTATTCTATTAGGCCCATAGAAAGCATGATATAACTGAGAGTGAGCGAGAGGAATGAACATGGAGTTAATACAGGGGGGAAATGAATAGGATTTTTTTAATAGATTCAGTGACAGTGGCTAAATATAAACAGCTGCCTAGTCACCCAGCCTCCACAAGGGGATTCATCAGGCAAATAAGATTTGTAGAAAAGTAAGTTGATGAAATGAGTCAGTGATCAAACTGCTAAGAAGCTCTGAGCTGACATAACGCTGCTGTTATGTCCTATCATGTAGTTGTCAAATTAGTCCCGCTTTAAACAATGTTTATTTAATAATAAAAAATTGCAATGGTGAAGTTTTTATCCTGAATACAATGCTGCCACCTCGCGGCGCAGCCGTTAATTGCTAAAAGCCGTTTCCATGATAACGGTTGCCAGACTGTGAAGCTGTGTCTATAACAGGTGACCGTTTCTGTGTGTACTATTACATTTTATGGCTTCAAACATTTACCAACTAAGATTAGCGGTCAGTGCACACTGTAAGTGCGCAACATATACAGACAAATAATTAGACGAACATTTGCAGAGACATTATGGCTGGAAAAGGCGGTTTGGCGAAACTGGACGTGGGTGTTTTGAGCGCTGAGCAGCAAGAGCAACTACGGCAGTTTAAGGTAACGTTGAAGCTAAAAAGCAAGCTACATTAGCTAGCCACACTCTGAAGCTAGATGTGTATTCTGTCTATTAGCGAGCCTGAAATGCATTTTCTTTTTATTCCCAGATCAAGACGAGAGTCGACAACGAGAAGTATTTGAGGTCGCACCCAGAAGTAGAAGTATTAATAAGTGAATTTCTACGGTTAGTTAGCTCACCTTCTCTTAAGTCAGCAGATTGTCAACTACCTTTGCTCACGGTGTCTACTAAAGTATATTAGTTAGTTAATCTTTCAGCACCTTGTGTGGTGATGATTATTTGTAAGGGGGATTTGCATGTTATTTGAGAAACAAGTTGTTTGTTTTGGTGATAACTCTCACTCCCTCCTTGCTGTTAACCTGTTTCATTGGCTGGACTAGTGTCTTGTTTTTGTTTCGGGGCTGGAGTTGTCATCGGTAACGTTTGCAGTACAGAGTAGGACACAGTAAAGCTGGGCTGGAAGTTCACTGTCACTGTTTTATTAAACGTAATGGTTGGGAATGGTCAGCCTTTGCTTTTTATTTTCTCCAATACTAGCTGCTTTTATTTGGATATAATACAAATATTATTTATGGTGGAGGGAGTTTCATGCATTTCCCCAAGTCACTCAGAGAGGCTCAAGGAAAACTATTTGTAGGTCTGATAAATAATGAACAGTCCCTGACTGCAGGTCTTAGTGTATCAAGACTAAAAATGGGGGTTTCCCTTTTTAAATTGATACACCAATATGTGAAATATTAATATCAACATCTCAAGTACAAAATAAAACAAGATCAGAACAATTAGATTCTTTACAATGTGTAGGCTATATTAAAGCCTAAACAAATAAAGCTTTATGCTAATGTGTTTTTAGAGAAACTTAAACTGAGTTTGTCAGGCAAAAATATCCTAGGTTGTGGATGCTTTGGATTAAATTACTCTATTACTCTGCCTGCATTTGTGAGCCAAATAATATTTTGAGAGTAATTAATTACCATACTTTCAAAATCCTACTCAAATCTGCCTTGTATGCAACCTATTTTACGTATGGTGCTTCATTTCACAACATGTATTAACTCTTAAACTAATTAACTTCAATAAAAGTCTGAGCTGCTTTTAGGTTAATGTGTCTCAAGCCTTGCAGCTTCTCTGTAGTGTCAAATTTTTCAACATCTGTCTTAGGAAATGTGTGAAGCTAAGAAATATCTGCAGATGATCACCTTTTAATGTGTTTAGTTTTAAAACACTCAAAAGGGCACAGTCTTAATAGATGTCTAGACTATTTACATTTCCTGTCCTCCTCACAGAGATGTGCTGCTTAAAAGACCTCCTGAAATCCGTGAGTTTGCTGCAGGTGAGTTGTACCTGGTCGTTCTAATGTTTTGTGTGTCACATGTTTGGGTCTGGTGTAATTTTATTGTTTTGTATTTATTGGTATTGTAAATGCATTATTTACTGTATGTAAATAAGTCTTAACATACTTTTGAATATACATTGTATTTTTAATACAAGGACAAAACTGGTGATATTTCATATTTTTCTATAAATAAGAATTGTGTGTAGGATCAATGTGTCTGTGTGTGTGACCAAAGCCTGATGTAGCTTATTTTGCCTCCTTTGTTATCAACAAACAATTAAAAACGCATCAGCGAGCCACACAACTGCAGTTGTGACATCAAAAAGTGCATCCAAATTAGCAATACTGTTAACACACACACATCATCTTACCCACTAACTAGCATCAATGTTCTTTTTCAGATCACTTCACCAACCCAGACCTTCATGTGGTTATTGGTTCCAAAATGGAAGGAAACAGTGACCTGGAGTGAAATGCACCCAACAGTCACGATGCTTCTCCTCTGTTGTCTTTCTCCGTACTGAGCAACATATGTGTGGACTCTGTTTTAGTAATAACAACGACACCGAGACGTTTGTGTCAGCCCACAAGTTGTACAGTTGACAGCATTATTGTCAGATTGCCATCATCCCTATGCAGGAAGACAGCTAATAAGGGAGATGGCAACGGCTGTTCCTAATGAGTGTGATTAAAGGTTAATGAAAAGAGGATGCCCTGTGGGTGTTACGCATACTGTACACTGTGCTGTTTGTCACATCACCAACATGGTTGTGAAGGTGACATGGTGAAGGCTGGAGTTGGTGTTCACTGCTTGCAACTACCCTTTCCACCAGAAAGAGTCTTTCTGGTCTGCACAGCTGGCCCAGTTGTTGAGTGGACATACTGTAGTCTACACTGACCTGGATATAGGCTCAACTACACAGACAAAAGATAATATTTACTTCACTTGTTTATTTTATGATGAAGCTGGAAACAGTTTTTCTCTAAAAAAAATAACATTCTTTCTTTGGTGTTGTTTTGTTATCTCATTTCCCTTTTTTTTATAAACATATTCATTTTTGTGCCATTTGAAAATAAAATTGATAGATTGATAGATTTACATATTTGTTGGATTTACCTACTTCTGTAATGGCCTTATCATTCAGATATTAAGGCCATTGATTCCGTTCGATATTAAAGAGTTGCTTTTGTATGTTTGGTCGCTTTTTGCACAGAGAGTGTAAACAGGGCTTTTACTGTGTGGTTATCTTCAGATTTATTTGGACAGTGCAGCTCTGTATTGGGTTTTGGTGAATGGATTTTATCAGCCCCTCAAAAAAAATTTCTAGCTGTCATTTGAAACAAGGTCTGCGATCTGAGGTATAACCATGACACCTTTTTAATAGAACCTCAAAAATAAATGCTCATCCGATCAAGACTCATTCCTTTATGATCTATTGTTAGCTTATCTCTCAGCATTGTGTATCATTGTATCAGATTTTCAAGATCAGAGTAAAAGCTGTATTTTACATATGATGAGAATACACGATCATTATAGGATTTCCTCACCTTTCTCTAACACTAGTGTGTTAATTTCATTGTTGCATCAATTAAAATGGACATCTCAAAACATTCATCACCTGTCTGTCTCTCTTTCTCACACACACACAAACAGTGTTGCTTTAATACCATGCACCTGCTTTGACTCAGTTGAGGACAGGTAACCACCCAGCCAAGTCACATCAGACGTTAGAGAAAGGCAGAGGGACAACACGCACATTCTCACTTTGTCTACGTCCTGTTTTTTAAATTGTTTTGTTTCTGGAATCTACCAGGTAGCAGTTGCAGATTCTGTAAGTAATAACTAAGTTCTTTGTTTGCTTTTTCAGTCTCTGATGTGTTGATAGTTTCAGCTATGCGCTGTAGAAGCAGTAACTTTGTACAGGTACAACTTGTTTATTGTTTGTTTTTTAAATTGCATTTTATAAAAAGGTATATAATTACACATTAAAATCTAAAACAAGGCTATACAAGGTCTTGGGATTATATATGAAGAAATATTAAGAAGAAATTATTGTATTGTATTTTTTTTTTACAGGATAATTTCAGGTATGATAATCATCTGGTATTTTTAATAGTCATATTAGTTGAAAGCAAACCAATTCAATGAAGGCAAAATACGAACATGTGTAAGAGGAAACTCCAATATGTGAAAATCAATAAAGAATGCAGACATTTGTGCAGAGGTGATGGAGGAAGAGAGGAGAAGCTGATGCTGTTGTTCTACAGTACATCATGTACATTACCAGACCTGTTTTTCACAGTGTGTTATCCTCGACAGTCCGTGGAGCCTCCCATAGGATGAGTAACTAAGATGGTAACTAGGGAAGTATGGTGACAAATCCTCAGAGGAGGAAGTATGGCTCGCATTGAGACAGGTTCTATAACAACCTAGAGATCTAAGAACAAACTCCTCACAGCCTACAAACAATACATTTATGCTGTTATGTGATGAAAAATATTATTAAAATGCGAATCTACTTCAAAAGCACTTGCAATATGTGTTGATTTATGCACACTTTATTATGTCGTTAATTATGTCATTGTGTTCAACAAGCAGGGGCCAGGTCTTTCCACCATGGCTCCAAAAGGAGGAACATTTTTCTTTCTTCTCATATTGGCCTGTGCAGCCAGGGGTAAGCAGCAACACCATCACATGCATCATCTCTTCTTGTAACTGTCAAAATGCATGCATGTTGTTTACGTGTACATAAATGTCTTTTCATAATTTTTTCGTTACTACGTGTTCAGCTGAGACACCAGATAGGACGCTTGGAAATAAACCTGACTTCAAAGACATGGCCAAAAAGCTGGTATGTCATTTCCTGAATACTTGCCTGCTCAGAAGGATATTCTCATCTGGAAGCAGTATGCGAAAGAACGTTTTTATTATTTACACATAATTTTCAAGTCCAATGCAGTTTCATTTTCTTTGTCACAGTTTTCTCTTTGACTAGGGCCACTTCAATACTTTGTCGTCATTGACATTTTCCACTCATGAAGTCATTCTAATGTTATGCAAGGACTAACAGAGATGATGGGTGCAATCACTCATGGGAATACATTTTTATTCATTAGTACTAATTGCACTGGAAACTGTCTATGGTGTACACCATGACTGTCACAATTGGCCATATATAATCCCAGTTTTAGTAATCTTATTTATGTCCTGTATGTTGTTCACATTTATTTTGAGAGCAATCATTTTTTCTTACCTTAAACATCTGATTGTGATATCTGTCTTTTTTTTTCATCAGATGAAGAAGTGCCACGATAAGGGTAAGCAAACCTTTCATGCACTTTTTCTTATGAAATGAATTTGAATGTGTAAAAATTGTGTGTTTGCATGTCTTTTGAACTCCTAATTCAATTTCAATTTGGGACTCTACTGCAACATTAGACAGAGCTCAGACCAGTCCTGATGTGTTTAAACTATGCAACATAAAACGGAGGACATATCTGCTATGTTACAGGATACCCGGTGCCTGGGGTAATGCTGCTGAAACATGTCTGCAATAACAGGTAATTCTGTGTGTGTGTGCGTGTGTGTGTGTGTGTGTGTGTGTGGGTGTGTGTGTGTGTGTGTGTGTCCTGAACTGGCAAAGCATTTTCAAGTGTTGAAGGTGGTTCCTTTAAACCATGAGTTGCTTGCCATTTCTTTTATCAAATACAAAGCTTGTGTAATGTGTTGAGTTGCCTTTTTTATAAATATATTTATTTGCTCCAAGCTGCAAACATGTGAGAAGGGATCATTTATTTGGCAAATCCCCCTGACCAAGATGGTCCATCTCGAGCTGCTTCAGTAGTTCTGCTCAGCGGCCAACAATAGAAGACTGCTGTGGCACTGTGCAGGATTTATGAATGCAAAGCAAAGTGTTGCTAGAAAACTGAAAATGGGCTCAGTTGAATTTCACTGGATCATTAACGGATTAAATGAATTAACAAATAAAACACCTAAGATTAAAAAGTTTCCACTCTCGTATCTCTTTCAGTGACTTGCCCATGGAGGCCAGAAATGCTGATCCATCCAGCACCTTCCTGTCTAGTGTCTTGAGCGTCCTGGACGCCCTCTCTCCTGTCAAAGACTCACTTAACCGAGTCCCCTTGGAGGACTTGAATAAAATGGTGTGAATGCACATTAGATTCTCCACATATAATGTAAATAATTATTGGTTAATCAAGGATTAAACTATAAAAGATTTTGTTCATTATTTGTTTCAATGGCACCTGTCTCACCCCGCACACATTAGTTGTCTCGTCTCTCTCTTTTTAGGAAAACAAGACATGGAATTGCAGCAATCTTTCGACCATGATCAAGCTGATGCAGAACTCCTCTGTCAGTACTCCCCACTAATGCCAAGATCTTAAGAAAAGATAAATATAATCCATTAATGAAGCCAATCTCTGGCAGTCTAATGATTCTAGCCATCTCTTTAACTCCCTCAGGAGGCATATTCATGCTACATGCAAGCAGTTGTGGCCCCTCTGTCCTGGGAGACTTTGAACACCCAGAGTGAAAGGCACATGGACTCGGACGACTATGACGCACTGCTGTGGGCTGCTAAACCGGTGCTGCAGGATATGTCTTCTACAAGAATGAACCTTCCAATCAAAGTAGAGGGCCAAAACGTGAAAAAGATGTGTGTGTGCTTATTTTTATTTACTTCCTCCACTGTCTCTCAGCAACTTTTCTTAAAATTGTAAAATTGGTCATTGGTGCCAGGATGATGATGCTGCAGGAGGTGTATAATCCCATGTCTGAAGCCAAAATGACACAGGTGATAAAATGGGCCAAAGAGCAGATCACCCAGAACTACTTCAACTGTACGATGGGGCCATCATCTGACTCAACATCAAGTAAGACATGAGTTAAGCACATCAAATCAGAAACCACTTTATAAAGAAAATCTGATCATAAATCCAAATATATTCTCCAACAACATCATCCCAAACATACGCACACAGTAACTTTAATACACAAACACACACTCACTAATAACAGCAACACATACTTCCAGTCACACACAGAAGTGTTTGTTGTTTTGTTTTTTGTTTTGTATTTTTCTGATTTTATGAATTACGTGTTGGCAATATTGTCTTTGTTACACTCATGCAAATAAATTAAACTGAATTGAATTTAAAAGAAAGAATGGAAAAGGGAACAAAAAAGAGAAGTAGAAGTGACTGATCATAGGGGATCACTTGAGAGATGAAAAAGCTGCAGAGAAAAAAAGTTAAATAGAGCTAGATAAGCAGAAAAAAAGCTGAAGGAAAAAGGTGAATGAAGCGGGCTGAAATAAAGCAAACTAGATGAAAATAACAAAAAAGAGAGGAGAACTGGGAGGAAGAGACAGAGGCAGTCTCTCACATGCAAATTGCACAAAGCAAGTGGAGAATCTGTTCATTAAACAGCAAACGATAAAACAGGCAGGAGAAAATGTGTGATAAGAGTGAAGTACTGTGAGGGATTGTGTGTGTCACAGAAAAAATGCTCTTGTGTGTGTTAGTGGCAAACATACAGGCTACAGTATCTGTATTTACAAATAAAATAATGCTAATCAAAGACCATGTCAAATGCAACAGACATGTGGATCTGCACAGCAAACACCAAATCTTGCTGTTGCCTGATTTATTCCGTAGTGCTAATGGAGCGCTGCAAACCTTCGCTGAAATGGCTGAACACAGAGGCTTTGACCATGATGGGACCTTACCTCTCCCATTTAGCACCGGACGATGTTGATTGTTCTCCTAAAGAAAAGGTGACGGGGTTCTGCAAAGAGGGACAAAGAGCCATTGATAGTAGAAAAAGCAAATCACAAGATTTTAATTTGTGCCTCTGTTTGTTTCCTTGGCATTCTCTTCTAGCTGTGTACTTTTTTCAGCTCAGCCCAGTTCAAATCCGCCTTGAGTGTGGCCACCAAGATGAACCCCAGCCTGGCCATGAAGTTTCTCCAAAGATTTCAGGAATGCTTCAGTGGAACTATGGAGTTTGCAGAGCACGTCGACAAGTGTGTATTCATGCATACGTGTGTTTACATTCATGCATAAAAATTCTCAATCAGATCATTGCTAGCCAGTCATAACCTTTATAGAACATTTTTCTCATAGATTCAGGTTTCTCAGATTTTCACATCATGTCATTTCCTGGCAAAGCAGAAGAGGACAGATGAACATACATGTTGTTTCATTTGTTTTCACTCCGCTGTTTACTTTGAATGTCAAACCTCTGTGTTTGGGCTTTGGGGTTTTTGTAATGAGGAAAATTCTTAACAGACAAGAGAGCATGTTGCTACAGACAGTCACTGTAAAAGACACAAAAATACATTAATTATAATAATTCTGTAAACAAATTGATGTTCCTTACATTATAGAGAGCTGATTCAAGTTCAAGGTTGGAATAATTACAAAATGTTTTGCCTTTGAACCTCCTTAGGCTTGGCACACTGGCCTGTTATTATTACTCTGCTCCAGATTTGACTGCTAACCTCAGCATGATACTCCTCACTGAGCTCAACAAATGCGATGACTACAACAACCCCAGAATCAAAATGGTATCACTCACTTGCTCATACTTTC